CTATCGCATGCACACATCTCAAGCTCTAAATATGAAACCAGAAGAGGCTAGGCTAAACCTATGGAGAACAAAAAACAACATACCTTGTTGAATGGATGAATACTGAAGGATATTTCCCACCAGGACATGGCTAGCTGGACCATCTGGAGGTCACTTAAGAGACTTCAAAGTGAAGCAGGAAGATCAAAGAATAATCGGGCAAAATGGGGCTCCTTGAATATAGAATAAATGTTTGTGACTGTGGAGTACTTCTGTGCCTGTGATTTACGCCCCATCACTTGTTCAAAATAAGATCAAGGAAATGGCTGAGATAATGCCATTGAAGTAGCCTGCTTCTGGTCAAAAATTATGTAATTATCTTAACATTTTGTTTTTAGTTTTCCTATATTTCATATACATCCATAATTTTAAACTCTGATACCAATAAAGTAATTTCTAATAGAGGCCAGTGTGAGGAAACTCTCAAAAGGCACCAAAACCCATGTTTAAAGGGAATGCAACACAGCTAAAGGTTAAATTTTTAATACAGCACGTTGTGCCTGTTGCAGGCTTTCTTTCTAGTATCAGACAAAGCATTTGTAAGAACAACCAGAGGTGGTTTGTGCGATATTTGTTTTTTAAAACCTGAATAGTGACTTAGAATTTAAAATTATTTCTTACTTAAAACCTTTGTCCCTCTAAGATGGACCAGATTCTGTGTCAATTTTTATCCCCGATTTCTGCTGAAAAATCCCAGTGTGTTTTGCATGTTTCTGGGGCATGCTGTAGGGCACAGATTCAGTCCATATGTTGCATTCCTTACATGTCGTTTGGTGAGCCAATGACTCCTTAGCCTATGTCCTAAGGAGTAAAAATGTGATACTACGCATGGCACTGTTGAAGAAAGAGCAGTATAAATATGGAATAATTAAAATCTGAGTGTATCGCTATCAGTTCCCTTTTAAGTACAACATTCATTCCCAAGGGGTCAAGCTTAAGAACATTTACCCGGTTTGACTCTGAAACCGCTTGGAAAAATCTGAAGTAAATATTTTGAATTTTGTCATAAAGTGAATTCAGTTGGTTTAAGGACTCCTGACTTCAAGTCATCATTGTTTGTGTTCACTTGTTGCTGCAGTCCCAGAATTGTTGTTCATCTAGTACATTTATTTTAGAGAACCAAAAATACAGATTGTTATAGACATATCAGAATGCTCCTGGCTTTTTTCCTCTTAAGAGAACTGGCCTTTTAAAGACTGCCATGAATATCCCAGGGCTTTACTTGTTCTTGAATTTTCTTTCTTGACGAATGCAGTTGTTTTATTTTACATGTGAAATTTGAGAATTTGCAAAGAAAACATAGAAACAAAACATAAATAAAAAAATCCCAGGTATTTCGAAATTATTATTATGACCAATTAAATATATATCTCATTAATCCTGGTTGAAAATAAAAAAAACTAAGAATGTCTGCTAAAATACCTTATTTAGTATGTGCTAAATAATGCTAGCTGATCAAACATGTTTGTTTTTTTCCTCTTTTTTTATGGAAGATGTTTAGCAATAGAGGGCAATTATACTGAATATAAGTCTGATTCAAGCCCTGCCAGAAGCCAGATACATTGAACAAAGGAAGGCAAAGTAATTCTTTAATTTTCAGTTCACCCATGGATCATTCAGCACCATAGTTTGTCAATACAGTACTTGCCATAAAATAGTAACTTATAAAATGTATATTCTGTATTTAGCCCATCTAACACGACTGACTGTAGCACAACAGCCCAAACCAATATGCATAAACACATGGTGTGGGAAATTTTCCATAAAAAAATTATAGCATCAGAAAAATGTCTGCCCCTCATTTATGTCAGAGATGTGAATCAAGTTTTCATTTTCCTAAGGTAGGGGGATATTTAATTTTTAATTTCTGTTTGTGCTGAGTATAAAAAGGATCGGTGGTTGCCAAAAGGCCAGAAACCTTGTTAAGGTTTGATGGTTTGATGCAACTAATTGACACGGCACCAAGGCATGCCTTGGTTGTGTGCCTCATCATGTGCCTAATTGTGCACCAAAGATTCACCCTGACACCTCATCAATTAGCTACAGCAACTTACGCAGACCTTATATAAACCCCGATAGCATTCTGGTCAATATTTATTTTAAAACTTATAGATTGGCTTAGAAATAAAAACATTCAAAATGTTGTTTAAAAGCAAGGGATTAAAAATCACAAGGCCAGTTTCAACAACAAAAAATAAAACCACCAGTATCACTCACTGATCACAGAATTAAATACACCACCGCTGCTGGGTGTTAGTTTGCTTGTTTTTAATCTGCCAAGTGGAGTGGGGTGGGGTGCTGAGAGAGAAGGGTTGAAAAGTTGGATTTGTCTCCTGGCTGTGGAGAAGGGATTTGACTGCTCCCGATTTCTAAGAGAAGAGGGACAGCCTGGTTATTTACCTGCATGCAACTCCTGGTCATTTACAGCAGAGTCAGGATGCTCAGCCAGCGCTTGTCTGGTTCTGACCTACTTTTACTCTGCACTCAGCTGAGTGGTTAAGCGTCAGAGAAAAGACCAGTGCTTGCCAGTTGTTGGGGGAGAAGTCCCTCTTCAGAACTGGGCAGGAAAACCTCATTCTTATGTCTGACCAGTGATCAGAAATAAAAACGACTGACATTTAAAATTTAAAGCACTCTAATTTTTAACCCTAAACAGATCCTAGAAAGAGCATATGAGGAAATTGAAAGTTTTTGTTTAAAATCTATACTTTGCATGGCCAAAAGTTGCTGCACTGAAGCTTGCCTCTGAGTAGACATGCCTAAAACTGAGGGTTGTTTTGTACATTTGGAGGGGGCGGAATCTGTAGATTGATAGAATTTCATTTTTCTGCATGTCCCCATATGTATAGTCACAGTCTTCTGAAGGTGCGGCATCAGGAATTGAAAAGGTTGAGCACTTATGACTTATATGGTACTTGCTGAACTGCAGGGCTGAGCTAAGAGTAACAACAAATCTATATCCAGGGCAGTGATACTAAATCTTCAAAGGTGTAGTGCTTTATCATCTTGAGATGTCCACAAGCCTGCTGACATTCCTTCCTTTGTGTGGATGGTGCTATTTTGGCTGCATAAAAGCCACAGCTGAAAAATGAGTTTGCTACTGGCATATATTTAAATGAAACCTGCAACAAAATATTGCAGTGGGGACTGTTTCTGTTCAGGATTGCTCCAGCCAGGCACGTCATCTTCCAAAATATGCCATTCTGTCCTTCTTGCCCATCTTCTCCTTTGAATTTCTAACTGCCTCCTCGAATTTCTAGACCAACCTTTAATTTTCCTGACTCTTTCCTGAAAAACAATATTGTCCTCCCATCCACCACATCTTTCCAAGGATGGCAAATAAAAATGTGTAAGCCTAAGAAAGCAAATAAATACATGGCTGTTGTATGGTTTTTGAGCTGTTCGGCCGTGTTCTGAAGGTTTTTCTTCCTAATATTTCACCAGTCTCTGTGGCTGGCATCTGCAGAGATAGGAGTCAGAACTCTGTGCTCTGGTACAGTTTGTGGGCTAGTTGAGTATTTATAGCTGTGGGACCAGCTTTTTGTCCTTTTTCAGGAGATTGGGTGACTATGGTGATCAGTGTTTTTTGTTATGAGTGTATTGTTGTGATAAGGGGAAGAGATGACTTGTCACTGTGATTGATGGGTGTCATTAGCTGGTCTTTTGTGTGCAGTGATCACCTGTCCTTGCAGCCAGGTACAGTTCATTGACCTTTTGCAGGCTGTATTTTTCAGTGCTGGGAGACAGGCTTTGTTGAGTTTTAGACTTTATTCCTTTTTGTTGAAGCTCTGCTAGTGTTTGTGGATTTCAATGGCTTCCCTGTGCAGTCTTAACATAATGATGGCTGATGTTGTCCATTACTTCTGTGTTTTGAAATAGGATTTCATGTCCAGCTTGTTTCAGGGCATGTTCAGCTACTGCCAATTTTCCCGGTTGTTTTAGTCTGCAGTGTCATTCATGTTCTTTGATTCTGGTGTGGATGCTGCGCTTTGTGATTCTAATATATCCCTGGCCACAACTGCAAGGTATCCATTATACTCCTGCAGTGCTGCGGTGGCTCCCTTTTGTCCTTTGCTGACCATAACATTTGTTGTATTTTGTGGTGGGCCTGAATACTGTTTGTATTGGCCACAAACAGAGAGTTCTAACTCCTGTCCTCGGAGGATGTTAGCCACAGAGACTGGTGAAATGTTAGGAAGAAAAACCTTCAGAACAAGGCCCAACAGCCCAAAAAACCCTACAACCACCACCGGATCCTAGCCATGAAAGCCTTCGAGAATACCAATAAATACACTCCACCCCTTAAAACTTCTGACAGTTGGGCAAGTGGGAAACTGTACTCTTTTTTTTTCCTCTGACTGGAATACTATCCCTACTTCAGCCTCTCCTCCCTTCCAAGAAGTCCCGGCCTCTTTGCTGGGTCTTGGCAGAAGACTTGTTTACAGGCTCCAAATGCCACCGAGCAGCAGAGCTCTCCCCCGCCCTCGCTGGGGAAGGAAGGTTGCTTTGCAACGCTGGCTAACACGTGTGTGAGGCGGGTGGAGTGGGAAGTTGTCTTCCCACGTGTCCCCTCCTCCTCACGACACCCGGGGAAACCTGCTCCTTCGCTTTCCGCGGGCTCATGGCGGCACGCCTTCAGGAAGCAGCGGCGAGGAGAAGGGCGTGAGAGGCCAGCCCGCTGCCTTGCAAAGGTCCCGGCTCCGTTCCCCCTTCCAAGGCGCGGGCAAGGCTGCGCGGGGAGGAAAGGCTCGCTTGACGGCGCCGCGAGAAAAGAGAAGCCAAGAAGGGACTGAGCCCCAGCGAGGAGGAGGAGGAGGAGGGAGAAGCATGGGGAGTCCCTAGGAGGCGGGGAGCCCAGAAGCCCAGGTGAGGGAGACGCCACTCCGGGTTTTGCCGGCAAGGGACGGGCGGGAGAGCCGTGCCTGCGAGGGCGGGGAACGGGGTGGCGAAAAGGCAACAGAGGCGGCCGAGGGTGATGGCTAAAGATAGGCCGCCGCCGCCAGCAGCGGGTGGAGAAAGAAGAACCGCGGACCGTTCACGGTTGGATCAGGGCCTAGTAGAGGGCGGTGGCGACGGCGGGCTCCTTCGCGGCTCCCCGCTTGGGCAAAGCCCCCGGGGCGAGATCCGAGCGGCCTTGGCGCTTGGCGAAGGACCTCCTCGATCTCTCCGCTCCCTGCCTCCGGCGCGCCGGGCCAGCTTCTCTGCCAGCCGCTCGCCTGCCCGCCCGGCCTCTTCTCTGGCTTCTGCTCGGAGTGGCTTTTCGGGTGAGCGGGCAAGGGTGCTGACCCAGGTTACGGGAGAGCCTGGCTCCTCCTCCTCTGCCGCCGCCGCCTCCTCCTCGCCACCGGCAGCCCTTCTCCCGCCTCTAGCCCAGGCGCTTGGAGGAGGGAGACTCGCCTTCGGAAAGCACTGCCGGCGTGGCCCCGGGTTGGGAAGGAAGGCAGGCAGGCTCCGGCAGGCGATCGTAAGTCTTCAGTCCGTGTTGAGAGCGCCCGGGGCTTTCTGAACTTTCTTGGGGCCTGCGTTGCGGGGGTTCGGTGGCCCAGATGGGGATTCAGGGCATGCCAGGGAGCCAAGATCGATAGTT